TATTCAAATTAAGGCCCTAATTAAGATAATACCAGGGACAATTCAAGAATCCGCAAGTTAAAGAGTATAAGGCTCATTAATTACAAAAGTCCCATGAAAGAAAATTCCTAGACCTCTCTGAGATTCCTTGAACATCTTACTGAAGCCATGACAATCCAATCACGTATTGGTAAAATCTTTTCAAATGATCAATTATATATGTTTGAGTTGGAGGATTATTGTCTACTTTACCAAAATAGCTAAAATCTTTGGATACAAACATCCCAAGTTTCACATATTCCTAATCCACATTCTAATTATTGGATGTGGGACTTCTTTCTCAAACAAAATCTATAATGTTTTGATCAGGTGGATAAACTCCTCAACCCAACCTTAATTCTTAAAAATCTGCAAGCTAAGTGAATTTGTGGGAGTTCAATGATGCTTGCCTTGTCATCATACTAGATAACATTATATAGCTAGAAAAGCATTAATTCTTAAAGAAAAAGCTTCAAAGTATGCACCACCAAACAAGAATGAAATTGGAGAATTGATACTACACTGCTGTTCCATATGAAGAATGATTTGTTGTTTTGTGTGTGGCATGCTAAGGAAACAGCCTAGCAGACACATCAATCCTCGTGCGTGGGAGACCCATGTGATTCCTCTCTCTTCCTTCCTCTCCTATCAAATCTGTAAAAGTCTAGCTTTCTATCAACTTGCATACATCTCTCTCTCTCTCTCTCTCTCTCTCTCTCTCTCTCTCTCTCTCTCTGTGCGTGTGTTTATGATGTACTTGTTCAAGGTTGCACTCGCTGCGTTCTCTCTCTCTTTCTAACTTTTTTACAGGTCATTTTATTAAATTTTAAATATGAATATATTATTTTGTCTTTCATTTACAAGTTATTTTTTTAAAAAAAGAGAGAGTATATATTAAATATTAAATATTAGTTTAGTTTAAAGTTTTTTTCATATATATGAAACAATGTAGAAATGTCCTATAAATAGGACTAGAGGAATATATCCCAATAGTATAAAATTAACATCTATAAACAAACCTCATTACTTACAAACTAGTATAATTTTTGAGCCTAGAGGCATGTCCCGGCCCTGGTAAATCTCCAGGACTCAACTCATCTAAATTTTTTTATATTTAAAAAAAAACTGGTGTAAGTCATTTTTCAAATTACGTATAATTAATGCATAGAAAAACGTGTTTAGTTACTTAAACATTTAGGTCGAAATATTGGAATTAATGAACATCACGTGTAAACCAGGATTGATTTCAGTTTTGTAGTTCATATGGCTCACCGGGTTTAAACCATTTCTTTAATCAAATATATATTAACTTTCTTGTATATGCCAAGTACGATTCTCGCAACTGAAATTATTATGTAACAACTTTAGTAGCACAGCTTTCTGGGATCTTCAAATGTCCTAAGATATTTAAACGCAAGTTGGTTTAATTTTTAGTAGTTTAGTCATTTGATGATGCTTTTCAATATGTTTTACTAAAATAAAAAAAATTGATTACCTTAAACCTGATTAACTCTATCTTGAAAGTTAATAAAGTTTATCCTATTTAATATTATGTACTTTCAAAAAAATAATAGTTTACATGACAATAAATTAAATATAAAATTATATATTCATATAAGTAAATTTAATGAGCTAACTTGTATTGAGAACAAAAATAAATATTCTTTCTGTCTATCTTAAAAATAAGATCAAAGGAGTATATAGTATACACTTTAAAAGATATTTTGTTTAATAAGCATTTGGGTCTTCAACGTCACCGCCATGAAAATATGTTATGAGAAACTTTAGGCATGAAATATCTCAAAAAGGAAAAAACTTGATATAAAGAAACAAGAGTGAGTAAAAAATAAATTGGAAAAACCCATACACACACACACTCATTTTTTTGCATTACTTTTTTTCCCTACTTCACAGATACTTAGGCATGAAATATCTGAAAAAAGAAAAAAAAAACTTCATATAAAGAAAAAAGGGTGAGTAAAAAATAAATTGGAAAAACCCCATACACACACACACACACACACACACTCATTTTTTTGCATTACTTTTTTATCCCTACTTCATAGATACTATAACTTCAAAAAGGTCCATGTTTATACAAACCACTCTTGGTGTTTACCGTTGTTGGCTGCTTCAGATAAATTTAATCATTCAAACACGAGCCCGCAGCACACAAAAAGCTGCCCAACGTGTGTTTGGCTGAACTTGTAGATATACACGAACTCAATTTAGTAAATATAATTTGTAAATAGTAATTCCTTTTGTCCCTAATATTTTTACTTTTGCCAGTCCTTATGTCCCTAATATAGCTATAAGGACTATTTAGAAGGTTGAATTTCATTTTAAATATAAGATCTCAATTCATTTTATTTTTTATATTTATCGTTTTCTTCCAAACTAATTTAACTTATAAACTGATAAATATATATATGTAATATAATGTAGGAAACTCATGACACATGTATTGTAATTAAACAATTTATTTGAATTTCTTACTCTAACCAAATTAAGTTTTTATGTTACGAAGCATGAGGAATACAATTTATTATAGTTTTTTTAAAAAAAATTATATTACAAGTATTTGAATCGTGAAGTTCGGCGGACACTTTACCCTATTTATACCATTATATTTAAGTTAAACTAGGTGCTATATAAGGTAGGTAACGAGTAAGATCTTTCACTCTTTTTTCCCCCAATACTTTGAAGTATGACCAGAATATATAGGAGCATGATCGTGAGGCGCCAGTTTTGACCTTTTTGATCTGTGGAGATTTAAATCACTGTATTTTTCAGATGCCTGAACTTTGAAAATGCCTTAAATACTTCATGTAATTCTGAATATAAGAGTTAATGTAAGGATTAGTTGTGGTGATAAATATAAAACATCAATTTACTTTATCTTTAAAATTACAATTTCTTTCTTAAAGGAGTAGTTTTCAATACAAATGATTAATTGTGGTACTTTAGGTAGGAAAACCAACGTCTATTTCGTACAAATTAAATGACTAAATTAACTAATAATTTTCTCAATTTTTGTAAATTAGTTGTTTAACTCCTATATATATATATATTCTGTACCGAAGAAATAAAGTTATTATTTAGAGAGAATTTGAAATGATTGTGAGAATGATTTGGGTGGGGATTTGGGAATTTCGATCTCTCCAGAAGCCACATATAAAAATATATACACACATATCCTTAAATATTCCCCTTGATGTAAATTTTTGACCGAAGTCCCCTTAATGTATTACTTGTACGCCTAACAGATATCCACATACCTCCGAATTGATTCCCCAATTAAGGAGCATTTAGAATATATAACCTTGTACCGCCTTATATACATGTAGTATTCTCTACAGTTTGGTCTTCTGTCATACTTTCTTCAGTCGAAGAGCATAGAATATTAAATTATTCAGAATAAAATGTTGATTGTTTTGACCATTAAATTCCTTTCTGGGAATTTTGGCTGCCATTGAAAAGTTATATTGATGGCATTTATTCACAAGCATTTTCTAAGAACTCGTACGTCAACCCCACTTTGAGAATAATAAAGGAGGAGCTCCCAAGCTTTATAATTATAAATCTCAAGTCAAATATAATGAATGTCCTTATGATCTGTGGATCCTGAATTGACATTATATTCGATCGGTAATCCCTTTTCCCAATTATAATAATATATTAATTATAATCATTATTAATATGTCATGCCGAACTGTTCTATCTCTGTCTCTGGATCACATTTCAAGATGATATTCAAATCTTCAGCTCTGTTCAAGTTTTTGCCATGGCAGATCTTTAATCGGATTTGATTCATTTAAGGTTTTATTTGCTAATCAAATGAATTTAATTAGTTCATTTGATAATCTTTTACTAATTACCTTGCACGCGGTTGGAGTCCAAAAGATGGTACTTTAAACGTTAAATTTCTAATCCTAAAAAATTAAAGAAAATCAACATATTATTTTGTGTCCACACATATATATACACAAACAAGTGGCTAAAGAGCTATATAGTATATACATTGTTGTATTTCTAAAGAACTAAAGTGATATCTAACATGTCATTTAAAAATTTGAACGAGAATCATCATTTTCTAATTTCCACACAAATTTTTGTAAATAATTTAACAAGATATAACAAATTTAAGATTATAATTTATATATACATATATATATATATCATATTGAATGATGTTGCCTGTTGAGGAGAAAGAAAGACGATAATAAATCTCATCTGTTTGAGTTGAGCTCATAGTGGTGTAATCTTTCTCCAATTAATTGTATATTGAAAATATTATGGTGTAATGTATGAGAAAGCTACTTTACTTGACAATACTTAAATCTAATCCGAAAATACTGAATACCAATTAATTATATTAATTAAAAATCTATATGGGTGGAGAGGATTTTAAATTTTAACTAATTAAAAACTATTTTATAATAAAAAATTATGGAACAAAAAAGTATAAAGGAAGGAGAGGGTGATAGGTATAATAATATCAGAAAAGTGAATAAAATAATGAGCACAAGCATAAATTAAATACAAAGGTTGAAGGGTGTGTGTGTGAGTGTGTGTGCTGCTTCTTCAACTGTTTCCAAAGCACCACACCCCTCTCTGCCTCCTCTTCTGTTTCCTTCTCTGCCTTTATGCAGCCATATCTCTCCTCCAATGCCATGGCCGAGAATATTTTCTAGCACAAACCCAACAGTCCGTACACTTCTTTCTTAGGACTTTGTAATCTTCTATTTCTCCAAGGTTTGCTCTCACTCACTTTTCATGCTACATATGTGCGTGCGTGTGTTTGTGTGTACATATATCAGAAAAAACCCAAGTTGTTACGCAGACACAACTCTCTCTCTCTCTCTCACACACACACACAAAAGCACCATTTGAGAGTAAAATTCTTCATCGTTTTCAAGGATGTTTGTTGGTACTGTGTTTCTGTTTACTTATAGTTATATATCTACGACTTGTGGATAAACATGTGCACTGGGAATGCTGAATCTCGAGGAATCCTAAATGGTGGTGAGGCTGTGATTTCGAAAGGGGAGAGAATGAGAGACAGAGATGACGACGACGACGATAATAATAACACCACCACAAGTGAAGCCACTAATAATACTTCTTCTGGTTTTAGCAGCAGAAGCTGGAGATTCATTCATGGCCTTCTTCGCCATCTCACTGCTCAACTTCCCTCCCTTCCTCTCTCTGAGGTTCGTCTCTCTCTCTCTCTCTCTCTCTCTCTCTCTCTCTCTGGATTCCTTCTTCTCTGGGTTCCTTTGATTTTCTCTTTGGGGATTCTTTCTGGCTTGCTTTTGGAAACCTCATAAATGTTGATGGCATGATGTGAGCTCGTGGTTTATAAAAGGAAGTTGATGAGAAAATATCCATATTTAGCATTTTGATAGTGATTGTGTTTGATCTTGTTGTATTCGTAGCAAGATTATTGATTATTAATTTTCACGTGGGGAATATAACCAATAATAACGTGATTTGCAAAATTAATTGTTGAAAGAAGATGGTTTTGGTAAAGTTGATATTTGTTTTTCTTTTTGGTTTGTGCGTTTTTTATGGTTATTCTTGTTAGAACTACGTGGGGACTAGCCAATAATTAGGTTCCCTTGCCTATTTCGGTTTTGTCGTTATTGTATCTTATTAGCTTGTTTCTTAAATATAAAATCTTGTTTGTACTCTATAAATAAAATCTTATAATTAGAACTAGAGGTAGTATTATTTTTTGAACAAAGTTTTCCATTATATTTTTATTATCTTTATTTGATAGAACATATTATTTTTATGCGTAAAAATTAAAAACTTATATTTCTATTTACATTAATCACTTCCCTCCTCCCACCATCATTCGGCGGGTTAAAATTATAAAGATATTGTCACTTAGCACTAGCTCAAGTGATAAGAGAGTGATGGGGTAAGAGTAGAGATCGAATTAAATCCCTATATATATATATATATATATATATATCAAAGTTATACCTTAAAAACATTATTTTAAATTTTTTAAAAACAAATTTCAGAACGTACTACTTCCTTTGAATTCAGATTAAATAAGTCTAAATTTGAATTTCTTAAAAAATCAAAAAGTAAAAACGCCAACAATTATCAAGAGATAGCGTATGTTTTATTTTCTAGATTCTGTATAGCGAATGAGTAGTCATGGTTTTGAATAATAATAATAATAAGACATTGGTATCTTTTGACTATATTCGTCCACGGTGTCTGTCTCACAAGAAACACTCAAAAATTTCTTTAATTAGTGATTGCATGATGGTGCTTTGAAGACTTTGTGGGGTAATTTATAATTTGAATGGATATTTCTTGAACTGCAAAATGATCCGTCAATGAATTGAACTAATGTTAAAATTATTTGAATTAATTGAATATTTATATATTTAAACATGAACTTGTACAGTGAGTGGTTTGATCCATGAAAATGAACAGTGACAGTTGTGTTCGTTAATAACAAATGACTACACGTACGACAAACAAGCCCCATGTTCTAGCAACCTAATCTTATCCTCCTCACATATTCTTGATTTCACTCCAATCACGGAAACAATAACAAGTTAGTTACCACACATTAATTAAATTTAATAGTATTATGGTAATTCTAAGATACAGCACAAAACACAACTAGTTGACACAGTATCCAAACTATTTCACTTTATTTAACTCAACATGTTTCGTTGGGCTTGAGCATATGAGGGCAAGCCAATGTTGAAGACAGAATCTGGTTGAAGCCCATGTTAAAGTGTAGAATTAGTACGGCAAAAGCCCAACGTCTCAGCTTTATGAAGTTACAGGACATAAGGTAGCAGGCTTGAAAGGTCAAGTTATACGAATCCGGTTGAGAAGTGAAATTTGTTCGGATCAACTGGTAAAAGTCACTTTGATCTAACTAAAATTATGACAAAAGTCAATTAATAGGATGTGATTTATCTTTGGATCAGTTTTGATTAAAAAAAATCAATTTAACATAAGTTTGTTTGAATGATATATTGAAAAATCAATTTTAAAATATTCAAATACAAAAATAGTCAAAATCCAAGCAAGAAAAAATTGCTTTAATTTCAAATGGGCAAAAAAGTCAGTTGCCCCCGGAGTCATGTCAAATATTTTTTTTCCTTTCATCTAACTATGTTTTTCTTGCCCCACCTAAGTTTTTTAAACTTGCTAATATTATTGCAAACATGTAGTAAGTTGACTAAAGTTAATTTGCATGCATGGGCGCAGGTGAAAGAAGAGTCACGGTCACTGGCCAAGGTTGCACTGCCCCTCATAGCGACAAGCATTCTGATATACTCTCGTTCTGTCGTCTCTATGCTCTTCTTGGGTCGCCAAGGCAAAGTCGAACTAGCCGGCGGATCACTTGCCATAGGCTTCTCCAACATCACTGGCATCTCAGTCCTCAAAGGCCTCACCATGGGAATGGACCCTATTTGTTGCCAAGCTTTTGGAGCCAAAAGATGGTCCGTTCTTAGCCAAACCTTCCACAAAATGGTCTGTCTTCTCCTCCTTGTTTCCCTCCCCATCATCATCCTATGGCTTAACATGACCTCTGTACTTCAATGGCTTGGTCAAGACCTTGAAGTCACCAAAGTCGCTCAAGTTTACTTGCTTTTCTCTATCCCTGAACTGCTTGCTCAAACTCATTTGTTCCCTTTAAGGTCTTTTCTTAGGACACAAGGCCTGACCACTGCTTTAACAATAGCTGCGTCTTGTGCTGCTGTTTTGCACATTCCTGTGAATTACTTTCTGACTATGCATTTGAAGCTGGGAGTGAAAGGGATTGCTTTGGCCACTGGTTTGAACTCCATCAACATGAACTTGGGCCTTGTGATTTACCTTCTCGTCTCCAAGAAACCTCTGAAGCCATGGCAAAAGCATGGATCATCAGGAGAGAACAAGTTCTTCCTCGCAGCCTTCCAAGGGTGGGGCCCACTGCTGAGCCTTGCGTTACCCAGTTGTATGTCAGTGTGCTTAGAATGGTGGTGGTATGAGATAATGTTGTTTCTTTGTGGCCTCCTAAGTGACCCTCAAATCACAGTGGCCACAATGGGAATCCTTATACAAACCACTGGTTTCCTCTATATCTTCCCATTTTCTCTAAGTTCTGCTTTAACAACAAGAGTTGGTCATTCCTTAGGTGCAGGCCAAGCCTCACGGGCACAATGCACTGCAATTCTAGGGCTTTCTTTAGCTTTCATATTTGGGGTGATGGCCTTCTTCTTCACTTTGTCTGTGAGGAAAGTGTGGGCCAGAATGTTCACAAATGAGATACAAATCATAGATATGGTGACAAGAGTGTTGCCAATTCTTGGCTTATGTGAGATTGGGAATTGGCCTCAAACAGCTTCATGGGGGATCTTATCTGGGACGGCACGTCCTAACATAGGAGCAAGAATAAACTTGTGCGCTTTTTATGTGGTCGGATTGCCTGTCTCCTTAGTTGCTACTTTTGTTTACAAATTTGAAATGTTGGGGTTGTGGAGTGGGATGTTAGCAGCACAGATTTCGTGTTTTAGTATGATGGTTTACACGGTGTGTCGAACAGATTGGAGTGAACAATGTAAAAGAGCACAAGCCATGGCCATGAAAACCAGAGAGGGAGAGGAGAAGGAGGAAGAGGAAGATCAGAAGGATGAGGAAACTGGGCTGCTTAATTCTGATTTGTGAGGTTCAACGTAATAATCGAGTTTGTTGGTTCATGATATGATTGATTATAGGAAATAGAAGCATTCTTTCTTCCCTTCTTTTGAATCATATTCCAGATTAATAATATATAAGAAGAAGAGAACCAGATTAATAAAGGCTGATTTCTGTGAACAACTCGTTCACATACTGAGCCTTTTTCTGGTCAAGCAATTTGGGTTTTACAATTTGGTGTATGAGGAATATGAAAAATGAATTTATGGCTCATTAAGTAGTAACTAAAAGTTTGTTTTAGAATCGTATAGAGCAGAAAAACACAGCCCACATAATGAAATCATCACACTCAAATGAAGCTATTTAAATTTGCAAGTCAGTTGTGATAATGAAAGAAAAGGAATTGCCAGTTAAAACGATAAACGCAACCTGAGGTATACGTATAAAAGGTTTGAGACTTTGAGCAAACTGAAACCACTTGATTGAAGTAGGAATGCCCATTTGTTATTTGGAGTTTCTTGCATTGGCAGTGATAATAGCAGAACTGAGGCACTCCCAAAGCCCTTATGATCTAGTGATATAAAATGTTTGGGCAAACTGAAACTACTTGATTGACAAGAGAGGCACTAATTGAGGATCATTGTGGTCATACATAACACCACAGCGTTTAATTAAGGATGTTTTGGGGCAAAAAATAAATATTTCTTCCGGTTCAAAATATAAGCATTAAATTACTAATTCACACAATTTAAAAAGTTAGTTGAAGTTGGTTAACGACAATAAATACGTAAAACAATGCAACTTATTTTCCTAGAACATTCTTTAGGATAAGTGGGAGAGAGAATAAGTAAGGGGGGAAAAAAGAGGAGAGTGACATATAATTAATTAGAGGTAAAAATAAAAAATATATTAAATGATTAGGCAAATCCAAAGCCATGCTTATGAAAAAAAATTAAACCCATTCAAAGATTTGATACTTATATTTTGAAGACTGAATAATAGTTTTTTTTTTGCGTAAATACAATGAAGAATAGATTTAATTTAATTGTGATTCTTGAATTGTTGGGCTGTAATGGAATATTGTTGGGCTAACATAATGGATCCACAGGCTGAGTACGTAAGACACAAAACCTCCAAAACAAGCATACATTATCAAAGGTTTGTGCCAAAAAAACAAAGGGGTATATTATTAAAGGTGATGAAGGATTTTTATTTATTTTTATTTTTATTGGAATTACAGGCCAAATATGTCAAATCAATCTTACATTATTTACAGGCATAATACATCTGAGACTTCCAACAGAGTCAATGTATTACTTCTCCGGTCCTAAATATAAGGCCCTTATACTAGTATAAGGCCCGAACATTTAGGACCGGAGGAGTATTATGATAGAGTATTAAATTAGATTTGTTTTTAATTTGGATCAACTTTGTCATGTACCCTTTTTTTTTTGTAATTCAGCTCTCGTTCTATTTTGTTAGTAAAATTAATCAAAATAAAGAGATAAATCTAGAATTTTTAAATCTAAAATTAAAAATTATCCCTCTATTCCTTTTTTGATCTCTATTCTTTTTTTATATTCGATAAAATTACCCAATTTACACATACTAGCTAATAAAATGGATCTCACTATTTTATCCCTTCCGTCATCAATTAATGCTGATAATTTTTCTTAATTTTATTGATTTGCCCCCACAATGGGTTAAGTCTTTTTATTCATTCATAAGGGACCTTTTTAAAAAGAAAATTTTAGTTCTAAAAATTTATAAATTGTCTTAAAGAGAAAAAGAAGAGCAGAAAGAAGATTGACGGAGCATATTAACTTTTTTCCGGCGGAAAAAAAGGAATAATTAATTTTTGTACAATATAGGCAAAATTGTCGGCGGTGGCAAACTGGCAATTCAATCTGAAAAAAATTTGAGGTTATTGAAGATTCCAATAAAAGAACGCATTTATTGCCTGGCAGGTTGATTTATTTATTACCACATTTATGTACTATTCTTTAAGTAAACACCACATTTAGTTATATGTATTTATAAAACCTTAAAATTCATTAACTAATTTATTAAAACATATTTATTGCCTAGCAGGTTGATTTATTTAGTACCATATTTTAATAAGTTTTTAATTAGATGTACATATTTTAAAAATTAAACAACATACACTAACATTTAATGTGGAGTAATAGAAAAATTATTGATAAAAAAACTTTTTTTTATCTTGTAATTAGAATCAGATGAGTATTTTATGGGCAAAACTTATTTTTCTAAATATTATTTTTCATCCTAGATATATAAGCCAATTGCAAATGTTTGTTTTAATTCTAAATATAAAATGATAATCTATTTATCTCTCATATTAATTATTATTTTTCTCATAATATTGTTGTATGTTGCAATTAATAGTAATAGTTTTCAATGTAAATAATTGGAAGAGGTATTTAAAAAAATTAATACATATTTTATAAATAATTAATTTAACTAATTTTTTTTATATATATTGTTTAAACTTAAGACAATAAGGGGTAACAGACTAAATAAGTTGGGTATAAAATGAAAAATCACTAAAAATAGAGATAGAACATGCTCAATATGATGGGACCAACAAGTGTTGGTTCTAGCCAAATAAGTTAGGTTTCGGTTAAATGTCATAATTTGGCACTCAAGTTTATTTGTATGTAAAACATATATTCTACATGATCTAAATTAATTAAAATTTAATGTGGCTTCGGGTGCCAAATAATTTGCTAAAAATAAAAAAATTCACGAGTAGAGAGATTCTTGTGCTTTTTAGAAGGGAAAATTACTATAAATTTTAAGAAAGGGACATAATTCACGAGTAGATAGATTCTTGTGTTTTTACGAATGTCACTGGAAGTCCTAAAACAACAAAAAATTATAATGAGGGTGAATAATCTGTCAGAAAACTGAAGGATTTTAAAATGAAAATTTTAAAATACTACCTACGATTCTTAATATAAAGTCTTGTTTGACTTTTATTTTGGTCCTAAATATAAAAATCCAATCCATTTTATCTCTCATATTTATTTATTTATTTCAAGGTAAATCCTTCTAACAATGATAATTTTAGCCAACATACTTAATTAGCAATGATATTTTAGAAAGGACAACACTTATTTATTATAAATAATTAATTTAACTTCTTTCTTTAATCTCTTCAAATTAGTTAACTAACTCTTCTAATTAAGACCAGAAATAGTAAATCGTAGCAATATCCAAGCATATACACAGAAGACAAATTCTTTTGAAAACCATTAATCCTGGATTGAACTATGAGGTTGAGAATATGCTCTTGATAAAATACCAGAAAAAATTAACCGCAATCGAATTTTATCATGTTCTTAAAATGAAGCTGCTTGAAGGAAAATTTAAATCTCACATTACACATTTTCATGATTTATTTGCTTCAAAGTTAAGGGATTCGTATACATCAAACTCTCATAAATATCATATAACAGGAACCTAACCCTTGAGGCAAATCCCTACTGGGCAGGAAATTAGGACAATGATACAATTTATGAGCAGTTAGTTGAGAAAATATTAAGCATGCGTCACTTTCATAAAATGAAGTGAATAAATATAAAGTGAATCATAAAAATTTGTCAGCCAATTTTCATTTAATTACTCTCACTTTCAGAATATGACATTAGAGGGCCAATATTCAGATCAATATACGTTATATAAATATATATATATATATATATATATATTATATTTATATGGTCATTGATGGAGCCACTCGGCAACATATATTGTTGTGAAGTATAATCCTTTTTTTAATTTTAATACTATTATCTGCAGCCATGTACCTTTTTTAAAGTGGACGTTAATTATTTGTATTTTTATTACTTAAAGTTCGAATTGGGATATAATATATTATATGTATAACAAATTTGATAATTGAATTATAGTAAATTTTTGACAAATATTTTTATTAAAAATTAATAATGAAATAGAAAGATAATATAATTTCATTATATTGCTTCATCACCATGGGAATACATATTGTCAATTATATTTTATTTTTCTTCCAAAAATATTTTATTCAGCTTTTTCATTTGACACCCACAATCGAAATTTTAGTTATTATATTCTTGATTAATGTTTACAATTGTTATTTATTAATTCTTTAAAAATGTTTTCAATAAAATGTTAGTGCTTTTTTTTTTTTTGCTAAGTACAGGTATTGAGATAATTTTATTTAAGGCACTACCAAGTATCAAGCTCAAAATATGGACACTTCTCCTTGTAAGAATTCTAACCTATGTTATAAAATATTTAAAAGAATAATTATATTCATGAAATATGATGCAATGACATGCATGAATAATCATTAAAATATAAAGTTAAATAAATTTCAAAGAATATTTATATAATCAATACATTAGTGCACATAGAAAAATTAGCATGTAACTTATTCGTGTATTACACGTTGTTAGGAGTGAGTTGAACAACTGAATTTTGTGCTGATATTAATATTATTAGTAGTCTTTTGTATGAGTATATAATTATTAGCACTCTATATTATTTATAAGCTATTAATAGTGTAAATTATTTTTCAAATTGCGTGTAATGTATGGGAGAACGTATTTATTTATGCTAATAAAAGATTAAAAGTTCAATTTACTCCGTTACAAAAAACGAGATACAATTTTTGAGGTTTAATTTCTTTATCTTTTACGCTATGTTTGGTACGGGATTTTCGGAAGGGAGGGGAGGGAAGTTGTTCCCCTCCCCTTGTTTGGCTAGTGTAATTTTTTAGGAGGGGAGGCCCCTCCCCTCCCCTCATTTGATTAAGATGCTTTTTAAAAAGGAGAGGGGTTTTTCTTCCCTCCCCTTCCCTTCTAGCCTCCCCTCCAAAAATGGGGTTTTTTGGAGGGGAGGGGAGAGATAATATTTTAATTCCTTATATATCCTTTCGATTTGTTAACCTCTAATTAGTCGTAAACATTTCTATATAAGAGAGTCCTTTTAAGTATCTAACAAGAGGTTATTAAGATAATTGTCTC